TATCCCTCCAAATCCGAGATACCCTCACACTCTCCAATGTCGTAATATCTACTTCTTCCCTGCCCCCATAATATTTCTCCCACACCACATTCTTCATATTAACAGAATACTAATGGATATTAACAGTCAACTAACAGAACTAACAGAACATATAATCTGATATTAAGTGAGGGTTATTTTTTTTTATTCGTATTGGTGAAGGGCTAAAAATATTATAATATAAGACAAGGGATTAACATCTTCCAACTTGGTAAGGTGAGAGGCTAAAACTTATCAACTTTGTAAGATAAATGGCTAAAACTGTCATGTTATAAGGTGAGGGTTAAAACCTATCAATTTTGTAAGATAAGGGGCTAAATGTTGGTTTTTACCAAATTAGTTTAGGGCAATTTGAATATTTAAGCGAAGCCTAGTTAAGTACCTTATCCACCTTGGCATTTATGACAGGCTCATTGACAGCCCAGCTTGATACTTGGGCCTTAAATGTTGCATTTGTGTTTTTTTTTTTTTAGTAAATAAACGTTGCATTTGTTGACTTGTAAATAACCGGTGATTATGATCACTAATTTTTTTAATGCTATTAAAATTATATTAAAAATATGAATTTTGTTTAATTTAATTATTAAAAATAGTTAATATTGATAGAATAATTGATATTTATACTTAATAAATGAAAATTTATAAATTAATATTTTCATACATCATAACTATTTGTTTTAAAAAATTATAAATATCAATTAAATAAATTAAAATATAATTTTAATGATCTTAACAAATGAATTGGTGACTATAACCACAACCATATATAACTAGTGCTGCAGTGGCTAACAAAAAGTAAATGGATAAAATGATGGTATTTGTTTTTTTAGTTTGGACCGACAAAAAAAAAAAGAGAGACAAAAGTATGAAGGGTGGTGATTGTAAAAAAAAAAAAATAATAATGTATAGTATACAAATAAAAAGTTTGGGAAAAAAAGTTTGAACAATTACGGCCTAATTAAGATAAGTAAGACCCACTCCAGGGGCAGATATCTTAGACTTGTGGACCGTGGTTGTTGGAACTGACATTTGTTGTTTTTCCAATCCAATCTACCTAAAACAGTTCTGCCAACAAATGACATGCTTACATTTTTTTTTTTTTTTTTTTTTGAAAAGCAAAAGTAATATATTTATTAATACGGAGTACAAGGGGTACCTCAAACCCGTAAACATCTTAGTTTGAAAGGCTAAGAGTTACATAGTCAATTAGCCCTTCCGTTCGGTCTCGACACCTTATAAAACCAAATGACATGCTTATAAAACCAACCAGCAACATCTCAACCTTTTGCTCCACTTCTTCAGTCTCACAGTTGCTTGGTTTAAATGCACCATTTTCTAAATAAAAAGGCCCGTCCCTTTTTTCTGATGTTGATTTCTTACCTACGCAAATATTCCCTTTCACTTCTCTTTAACAGTACATTACATATGCTTTTTGTGTTTATGTCCTCATGTGTCACACAGAGACAATCAAGTATGCAGAGATCAAGCATGCACATTCAATTGAATGTGAATGAGTTTGAGTGAAAGCTACATGAACTAAAAGTTAAGCTAGAAAAATCTTAAGTACTATATATAAGAGGATAGAGCCAAACTCTACCCTTCCTTTGTCTCTTTATTTCTTTTGTGTTTTCAAAAATGAGTTTGATTTTGTATCAATTTTATAAATACTTTGATTTTTGAAGATATTTTAGTAAAGAAAAATTTTAAGTTGAGTAATGACAACTAGTGTAATTTTTATAAAAACTTTTATCTATTTTATAAATATATTTTACTTAATTTATATATTTTTCCATTTGCATGAAATTTTTTTCTGGCTTTATTCTTTTGAGGTTGTTTTTGTAGTAGTAGTTATTTTTTTACTTTATGTATTCATGTGAAAATCATTTTTTAATTTAAGCTTAGAATTAATTACATTTTAAATCAAATAAATTAGGTTTGATAGAGTATTAAAACCTCTTAAATTTATTAAAATATTTATAAAATAATTATTTAATATTACATTTTTATATTTTTTTACGTTATTATCTATCTTTAATAATAATTTTTTTATTCTTTAAAAAATAAATACATCTCAATAATCCATAAGCAGGTTTAATAATGCTAGCATTAAAGCAATTCTTTTCGGTAAGGTCTCTACTTGTCTTGGAAGAGAAATTCATCCCCATTTCTTGCTTTGGGGTGTGCTGATGTAAGGCCACTTTTCTCAAACAATATTGGTTCCCATAATGGTGATATCAGGAATCAAGCTCGAAACCCTCTTCCCAAGTTGCGTCCTGAGCAATGCTTGTTGCTTTTTTGGTCTAGGATTCAAGTCTTACATGAGCATATGCACAAAGGCTTGGGGTTGAGTATAGGTCCTATCTCAAGCCACAAAATTTTAGTAAATGGCCTAACAAAATCTAGAGGCACTATCCATAATGACTTGATCTGGCGAGGTTTTTTCATATATTTAAAAAAGTCTATAGGTTTTTTTAATAATAAATAAAAATTTAATGAGACTTAAATTGAAATTTTTAATTTTTTTATATGGCTGACTTAAATTTACTCCATCTTTACCTGTCTAACTTCTAAATTCTAATTTTATTTCTCTCTTTTCTCCCTCTTCACTTTTACTTTTAGTCTTTACTCTCTTCTTTCTTTATCCTCTCAATTTTGGCATGATTCTCTCTCTTCTTCAAAACCCTTTTGTGAAATTTTTTCTTGTGTTCAAGATATGAGCAAAAATTAATAATAGAAAAAATCTCAAAAGGGTATTTCAATTAGTTTAAAACTTGAGGTCTCAATTTAGAAATCCATATTCAAAATTTGAATTGTGTGGGATAGAATTAAAGAAATGAAAAAGTTATATGAATAAAACAAAATTTAATCCTCCCTTGCCAAAGGAACAAGCTTTCCAAACAAATAACTTAGGATTAATGAGAGAGTTTGGGAAAGAATTATATGAGTTTGGGAAAGAATTATATGAGTTCAATGTAAGTTTTTTGCTTATCCTAATTTGATTAAATTTATAGCAAAATGTAAGTTGTTCAAATGCCACGTAACTATTGCTAGAAATAGAACACAAGCCTTCAGAAGCCTAATGAAGAAGAAACAAATCTGCTATTTATAAGTCATATATACTTCATTGGGTGTGAGATTTAAACCGTCCTCCCCTAAAAGGAAAAAAAAAAATATATATATATATATATACATAAAGAGGCGTGGGGAGGTGGGTGTGCAACATGCTTTCTTGCAGGCTGCACTTCCATGTAGCCAGCTCAACTGCCAAATATATCATATTATTATATTTTTTATACATTAATTAAATAACAAATCACAAAATAGTGAATAGCTTTTCTTTCTTTTTTTTTAATCTCTTTTTATATATCTCAAAACTTTAATTTAATATTTACAATTTGATATCTCTAGCTTTTCTTTATCGACAAATTTCAAGTTATTAAGCAGTTATAACACTTTAGAAGGCATCACATTAATCATACTAGAATTAA